ACTCTATCTCCAAAGAAAAGTACTTGGCAAACACAAGGATACCTATCAATGACAGGCCGTGAGATACACTGCCTCAGCTAGAGCCCTCCTCCTAGCTCGCCCACAACATGTCGGCAGCCGGAGGTGTATTTACAGCAGCCGCGGCACTGCCCTCTAAACCTGCAGACGCGTGGTTGGCTTTGGCACGACAGTCCTGTTTACACTGTCTCCCCTTCAGGTGTCTCAGTGTCTAGGACAGAAACAGAATGCCCAGCTTCTCCCCTGGAGGGATCAGAAAGGAGGTGAGGGAAGGGGGTGAGGGAAGGAAGGATGGAAGGATGCAGGAAGGAGAAAAGGCAAGAAAGGAGGGGAACAAGGAGAGGAAGGAGGAGGAGAAGAGGGAGGGAGACAGGAGGGCAAGGATCTGCCAAATCACAGCCACGCCTCCTTCCAGTTCAGCCAGTTCAAGTGCACAGAGCAGGCTTGCCCCCCAGCCTAGTGCCTGGAGCCATCCTTCTGAAGCCCTAAGTCATCTAAAACTCACCCCCCACACACCGGCCCTTTGCAGTAGAAAACCAGATCTGGAAGGGTTAAAGTAACTGCGGGAGAACTCCAGGGGTCAGGCACAGTAGAAGGGCTTTCCATGGCAGACAGGTAAAGTGAGACTCCACTGCCCCAGGACACCCTCCAGGAAGAGCAAAGTCCTGTAAAGCCAGCCCCAGCCCCGTGAATCCACTGCCCAGCAGAACTGAGGAAGAGGGAAGCTGCAGGCACCCAGTCCATGGGAACCCAGCCACCAAGACGAGGGGCAGGTGTTTTGGAGCATCTGTGCTCTTGTCCAGGGACATCACAAACCACCCACTTCTCCAGTGCTGCAGGCCTGCCAGGGCCTCTAGACAGTGAGCTGAGCAAGCAAGCCTGGGGCTGAGGAGCCTGACGCCAAACCAAGGGCCAGCAGAGCTGCAGCCCCAGGCGGCCCTCGAGCTGAGCCCACAGGCCTGAATCGGAACTCAAGCTCCATGGAAACCATTCCCCAAGGGGCGATGAAGTTTCTAGCACTTGGGGACACTTCAACTGTCCTGGCGCAAGCACGGAGTGCTCATACTGTGGGAAATGGCTGCGCAAGGCCCAGGGAGCTCCCCAGATGGACATCTCTGGGAGACAACACAGCAGCTCAAGGACGACAGAGGCCTCTCCCTTCTCCACCGCAGATCCCAGAGGCTCTCTTAGAAGTACTGGGGGACAGGGAGGCGGCCAGTGCAGTACTTTTCCACCAGCTCCCCAGTGATGCACAATGGCGCTTTCCAGGCCTCACGACCTGCCATTCTTCAACAGTTAGGTTCAGCTTTCCATATTTTTTTTTCTCTAAAATATATGTCTGATGCCTCCATTTAATAATTTCCCATGAGAACAAGAAGAGTGAGTAAAGAAATATTTTTATCAGCAGAGATCAATGTAGATTTTCAAGGAGAGTCCCCATTTTGTTGGGATACTGACTTCTGGAAATACAAGAAAAGGATCTCGGGGTGTAAGCCTCCAAGCCCCTACACAGAATCACAAAGACCAAACTGAGAAGCCGCCCGCAGCATAGGAACTAGCCCTTGGGCTCACAGGCTCCCTTGGGGAGTGTGGCTGTCGACCTCTGCTGGTCAGTGACTGCAGGCCAGCAGCCCCCCAACAAAGGCCACAGGACATCCCACTGCTCCTGGTGAGCGTGAAACTAACTCAAAACCTATAGCCAGAAAACTGAACACAGCACACAAATTTATCAGTAACTCCATGTTATAAACCAAACCAGACTAGCAAGAAACACACCCCAAATGCTTTCTTCTTTCTTGTTTTCCAAATTTCTTTTAATCAACATATACTTTATAATGATAAAAAACAATGACGGCTGGGGATGTAGCTCAGTGTAGAGCCATTGCCTGGCAGGTGCAAGGCCCTGAGTCATTCCCTGGCACCGCAAAGAAAAGAAATCACATTCTTTAAAATATTATTTGGACTTTAGCCTGCATACAGTCTCAGTAACAAAGGACAGCCAGAAGTTCTACAACACAAAACCTCCAAGGCGACGGCCTGGAGCTCATTTTAAGAAAACGGAAGGAGCCTCAAAAGAACAGGGCAGTGTCATCAGGAAGGACCAAGGCTCTGCATGTAGCAGGCAGGACCCCACGTGAGCTCTAGGGAACCTGTTTCCACCTGGAACCTGGAAGCCACAAAGAACTGACCAAGTGGCCTCAGCAGGAGACAGGAAGCCAGAGGAACAGGAATTTAACTACCTGCTATAAAGGAGCCCACTCAGTAAGACACAGCCAAAGAGAACCCAGGACAAGACAGGGGACCTGGGTCTGGAGTGTCCCCATCACTCAGGTTGTGGTGACCTACTCCTGGCATGCGGTGCCTGTCCCATCCAAACTACAGAGTCTGTGCTGCTACCAGACACATTGTACATGTTATTTACACATCTCTCAAAAGCTCAGAACTGCCTAACTGCATGTTGCAGCCCAACCCTGAAGACATCAAGACCCCCACCACCCTCAGCCCGGCTAGGTGTCCATGCAGGCTTGCTGAAGACTGCAAAATGTCCAGACCAGGTATCAGTCAAGGAGTCAGGTGGGCTCTGCTTTCCTACTATTGTTATAGTTAAAGCTTTGTCTCAGGGTTTCATAAACTGACTTCCAGACCACTCACGTATAATCGAATCAAGCCTTTATTGAAGCACACCGGTGGCGGCTGACCAGAACATAGAGCTGTTCCCCTGATCAGCCCCGAACAATTGCAAGGGCACTCCTTATAAGCCTGAAAACCGCAAAAGGGATGTTCGGGGGTCTAGCCAATGCAAGCAAGCCAGGTTACAGAAGCGGGACAGTGCAGTCAAGCGGAGGGAAGCCTAACCAATCAGTTAGCCCAGTCACCCCAGTTTCAGAAACAGAGCCCCGTTACCCTAGTTATAGAAACAATGCCCCATTAGGTAGTTCCATGTTCTTAAAGTTTTCTATAGCAAAAGGAAAAGAACATCTTGCTCCAGTCATGACTCTTCTACTTGGCATGGTTGTTTTACAAGATGAAGTCATAGAACAAAATGGAGTCACATTTGCTCCTACTACCACACTATCCTTCTCTCATTTCATAAAGGAAAGGATACCTGCCACCCAGAATCATACCTTGGCGCACCACCCCAGGAAACAGGAGTCTCTGGGGCACCTCACAAAGACAGACTGATATATGGCGCCATGCTGCACAAGGGAACAAATCCTTATACTAGTCAGGCAGGTCCAAGTCTTCCTTCCAAAAACTGAAGAGCCTAATCAAGTTGTCATGTAATGGTTGATATTTAAAATATATTTTGTGGACTTGGGGTGTAGCTTAGTGGTGGAGTATGTGCCCAGTATGCACGAGGCCCCAGTTCAATCCCCAGCACCAAAATATAAATACACACACACACACACACACACACAGACATAAAATATGCTCCTAAAAAATCATTCAATGAGGCCAGGATGCAGTGGCGCACACCTGTAATGCCAGCGTCTCAGGAGGCTGAGGTAGGAGAATAGTGAGTTCAAAGCCAGCCTCAGCAACTTAGCAAGGCCCAAAGCAACTTGTGATACTCTGTCTCTAAATAAAATATAAAAAAGGGCTGTGGATATGGCTCATTGGTTAAGTACCCCTGGATTCAATCCCTGATACCAAAAAAAAAAGGGGGCTGGGATTATGGCTCAGCGGTAGAGCACTTGCTTAGCACGGGCGGGACCTGGGTTCGATCCTCAGCACCACATAAAAAAAATAAAGGCATTGTGTTGTGTCCATCTACACCTAAAAAATATGAATATTAAAAAAAAATCACTTAATGGTCTCAGTTCAATGAATTAAGCAACAATGCTAGAACAAACTTCTTTTCCCATTTACTTAATTATTTATATCCAGAAATGAGAAACCGGGGGGGGGGGAAGAGAACCAACATTAAACCCTGTCTCACTCAAACATGAAATTCACCAAGGTACGTGAACCAAAGGCAAAACTCTGAAAAGCCCTGCCATGTGATTCTGTAGTGCGTGCCTAACCAGTCTGTATTTTACGTTGACTTGACAAAATTTGTGATGTTATGCTATTTTGATCAATGCATACTACTAACTATAAAGAGAGCCCAATGTAGAAGGAAAATTTCAACACTCACAACTTAGCAGTAACAAAAAATTTTAGATTTTTCAAAATTTAAAGGTATAAGCATATTTTTGTGGTAGACAAGATTTTGAGATGAAGAATAGAAATGCATTAGGAAGAGAGATTGTTCCTGCCTGGTCTTGGGTGGTATTTAAAACCCCAGTTATTTAGAATCTGTTGCATGCAATTCAAACAGTGATGTTAATAGCTGATTTTCAAACTCTCTGCTGGTATTATTGCCAGGTAAGAACATTTTTAGACGTATGTTTTTAAACAGAGCTCCCCAGGCCCCGCCACCTATTGTCAAGGTGAGGAGCAATCGCCCTTTCTGCAGGGGAAGCCCGGTTCTCTGAGCGCACATCCCCAGCCCAGCTGCAGGTCCCCAGTTACAATCCCAGCCCCGTATTCCAATTTTCTGACCTCACATGAATACAAAGCTCTTAAAATTAGGAGAATTACCATTTTTTAGTGACAAGCTCACAATGTTCCAATGGTGAAAATTTGCTTCCCTTAAAAATTTGGATTATTTTTATTTTCTACAATTGTGGACTAACTCGTATTTCTACATAGGCTATGGACGAGTCACCCACCCTACCCCAGGCACCTGACTACCCACAGGGGAAAGGACTCAAGGATCGCTCCCTGGGCCCTCTGTGGCCAATCTAGTCTACCACAGTTGCTGTAAACTAGATTGTAAACAATCTAGTCTCACACAGGGGCCAGCAAAGAAGGCGGCCCAAGCAAGGCAGGAACAGTGTTCCAACCTAACACTGTACCTGCTGTCAGCAGGCGCTGGGTGTGTCCATATGTAGCCCGTGTGTCTGTCCTCTGCTCCACAGAGGCACAGGTGGCCTTACCTTGGGGCTGGCTTCTTCGTTGTCTGCTGTGGTTTCAAGTGCCTGAGGTCTCTCTTCTGCAGACGCCTTCTTTACTTTTTTGCTCTTTTTCGCTATCACTTCGGGACCTTTTCTTTTCTGTTTTGCCATCCTGCTATGGAGAAAGCACACTGCTAAATTCATAGGGAAAAAGGGGCTTCCGCCATATAATATTTTTAAACAAAGGGGGGAGCACTTTCCTACTAAGAGACTACAAAGGTATTTCATGAAATACAGTATACAAAAGTTAAAAAAAAAAAAAGTCAAACTCCTAGTTCATCACCAATTTAACATTTTGGCACATTTCCTTTCTATTTTCGGGTGTTTACTTAGCGTAGCTGCATCATGCACACATTACATATTCTATTTTTTTAATAGCAATCTTTTATTTATTTTTTTGTTTGTTATGTGGTGCTGAGGATGAAACCCAGTGCCTCACACATGCTAGGCAAGCACTCTACCACTGAGTTACAGTCCAAGCCCTATCATATTCCATATTTCTGACCTCACATGAGTATAAAGCTCTTAAAATTATGAGAAATACCATTTTTTAGTGACAAGATCACAATTTTCCAATGGTGAAAATTTGCTTCCCTTAAAAATTTGGATTATTCTTATTTTCTACAATTCTGGACTAACTCATATTCTTACACAGGCCATGGATGAGTCACCCACCTTACCCCAGGCACCTGACTACCCACAGGGGGAAGGACTCAAGGACCACCAGGAGCCTGGGATATCTCCTCCGACCAGGCCAGTCATAAGGCCTTATGCAAGAAATATGGGATGTGGGAGGAGAGATGTGCCTTCGAGGTCTATTTCCTCAGGCACAGCAGCTAGTTACTCCTGTACAAGAACAGGAGTCCATGAGCTGTAAAACCAGTTCCCTCCGTGGGATTATGTGATGAGAGAACCAAGAGCAATGGCTGAGGTTGCCGGAGCCTGGAAGCTTTGGAGGGGAAGGAGGAAGGAACCCTGGACCTTGCAGGAAGACGATGGCTGCTACTGGGACCTGAAGTGGGGACCAGACTACCTCCAGAAGGTTGAAGTAGAAACTAGCAGCCCAAAACACCTACCCACATGGAACTCCCGTTCTTATGGGGGAGCCAAATACATACTATGTCAAAAGTTGAGAACCAGCCGGGCACTAGTGCACGCCTGTAATCCCCGAGGCTTGAGAGGCTGAGACAGGAGGATCACAAGTTCAAAGCCAGCCTCAGCAAAAGCAAGGTGCTAAGCAACTCAGAGAGATCCTGTCTCTAAATAAAAAATATGAAATACGGCTGGGGATGTGGCTCAGTGGTCAAGTGACTCTGGGTTCAATCTCCAATACTCGCCCCCCCCCCCAAAAAAAAAATTGAGAACTGGTATGCAAAAGGGGTGGGTGTCATGGGAAGGTGACCATGTAAACAGGATGATGGGCCTGGAAGCACAGCTCCGTGTAGAGCACTGGCCTCTCTGTGCAAGGCCCTGGGCTCAATCCCCAGATCCACAAAAGAAAGAGGATAATCATAATGAAAAGGGCCAGAAGTAGCGAGCATCCCCAGAGACCAAGACCAGTTTGGGGACCAAATACCACTCTATGTGAAAGCCAGGGGGGCATAAGGTGGATCTGGGACACAAGGGGAGCCAGCACCAAGGATCTCCGCTCCCATTTGGGTCTGTCACTGATGACAGCACACTGAAAGAATATTACTATTCTGGAGTCAGAAAATTCCAAGCTCCATATTCCTTAATTAAGCCTTATCTTTAAAAATTATTTGAAGCCAGAGGCTACAAATTTCAATTAACTGTGTAATAAGATATCTTGAAAGAATGAGAGACTGTTGAAATACAGTATACAATGTTGACATAGGGACCCTGAAAACACAAAGGATGGCGCCAGCCCATTACTTGTTAAGAGAAAGAAGTTCGGCAAATATTTATACACCAGTTACTATAAAAGTTAAATCTATATTCATTCCGTAAGTTATCATTAAAAACTTTAATCACTAAGTCTATTTGCTAAAAAGAAGAAAAAGATTTTTCCATACTATAGAGTGATCTCTTTTAACAGTTCTAAGAGATAACTCATAACTCTGAGACACTGAATGTTTCTTCTAGAAAATATTTTTCATTTCTGGGCAACTGATTTTCAACAAGGGTGGCCAGGCAATTCAAAGAACAATCTCTTCAACAAATGGTGCTGTGACAACTGGACAACCACACAGGAAACCATGAATCTGAAACCCTACCTCACACCACGCACAAAAATGAACTCAAAATGGACCAAAAACATAAATGTAAGAGCTAAAACAAAATTCTTGGAAGAAAACATAGAAATACATCTTCAGGCCTTAGATGAGGCAATAGTCTCTCTGTAACATAAGTAGCAAAAGGAAAAAAGTACATAAATTGGACTACAGGGCTGGGGATGTGGCTCAAGCGGTAGCGTGCTCGCCTGGCATGCGTGCGGCCCGGGTTCAATCCTCAGCACCACATACAAACAAAGATGTTATGTCCGCTGATAACTAAAAAATAAATATTAAAATTCTCTCTCTCTTTAAAAAAAAAAAAAAAGACTACAACAAAATTTACAACTTTTGTGCTGCAAATGATGCCAGCAAGAAAGTAAAAAAGACAACTTGCAGTCGGAGAGAGAGCATTTTTAAATTATACATCTCACAAGACACCTGAATCCAGAATATATGAAGAACACTTACAACTCAATAATAAAAGGCAAATAAGCAGGGCACAGTAGCTCACACCTGAAATCCCAGCTGCTCAGGAGGCTGAGACAGGAGGATTGCAAATTCAAAGCCAGCCTCAACAAAAGCAAGGCACTAAGCAACTCAATAAGACCCTTTCCTAAATAAAAACACAAAATAAAGCTGGGTATGTGGCTCAGTGGCCAAGTGCCCCTGAGTTCAATCCCTGATAGCCCCCTCCAAAGGTTTTTTTAGTACATACTGAAGACCTGAAAAGATGCTTCACTTCATTAGTCACTTAGGAAATGCAAATAAGATTGTGCTCAGTGGCAGAGCACCTGCCTAGCATGTGTGAGGCACTGGGTTCGATCCTTAGCACCACATATAAATAGATAGATAGATAAATAAAGGTACATTGACAACTAAAAAATATTTAAAAAACAACAACAAAAAAAAGAGATACCACTTCACATTCACTAGGATGCCTATAGTAAAAAAAAAAAAAAAAAAGACAGATTGCGATGGCTCAATGTAGAGTAGTTCCCTAGCAGGTGCAAGGTACTGGGTTCCATCCCAGCACCATAAAATAATGAGCTAGAAAAAGAAAAGACATAATAGTAAATATTGGTAAGAATGTAGAAAAACTGAAGCTCTCATTCACTGCTTGTGTAAGTGGCAGAGTCACTTTGGAAAACAGTCTGGCAGTTCCTCAAAAAGTTAAAAACATGCAATTACCATATGACTCAGCAATTCCAGTCATAGGTGCATATCCAAAAGAAATAAACAACTCCACATTAAAGTTTGTATTCTAATGTTCCTAGCAATATTACTCATAACAGCCAAAGGTGGGAACAACCTAAATGCCCATCAATGGATGAGTAGATAAACTAGGTATTCAGGGTGGAATATTATTCAGCCATAAAAAAGTGAATACTTATACACCTACAAAATGTGTCACCTTGAAACCTGATGCTAAGCAAAAGGAGCCAGATATGAAAGACCACGTATTGCATGATTCAACCTGCATGAAGAACTCAGGATAAGCAAATCGGAGACAGAAAAGGCTAGTGGCTACTCAGGCTATGAGCGAAGTGGCAGTGACTGCTAGTGGGGACAGGGTGTCTTCTGGGAGGAGGAAAATGTTCTAAAGTTAGATTTTGGCGAAGGTTGCACAACCCCATGAATACACTAAAAAAACAAAAACAAACTATATTCTCTCTCAAGTTACCATAAACTTAAAAATACAATGTTCAAGGGGCTAGGGTTGTGGCTCAGCAGTAGAGCGCTCACCTAGCACATGCGAGGCACTGGGTTCGATCCTCAGCACCACATAAAAATAAATAAATAAAATAAAATAAAGGTATTATGTCCAACTACAACTAAAAAAAATTATAATGTTCAAGTACTGTTTAAAAAATAAGAAAGATATAAATGGGGGAAAATGCATGTAGAAGCCTCCTTGTGTCTTTTAAGTGGGCTGTTAGTGGCCAAGGTGAGCTCACGGCTACAGGACAGCAGAGTAGCCTGCCACCATGGCCCTTGATCATTGCCATTCCCAGTGACTGAATTAATTTCTGTAGAGCAATGAAAACCCAAGATTTCCCTTCTGGTGGTTGGGAGGATTCTGAGGGGGTCAAGGATATTAAGGAAGCTAACCCTAACTACCACTTTATGGAATTAGCATTAAGAGGCCTCACCAAGGCCAGGCCCTGCCCCAACATGCTCTACACACACCAGCCCACTCACCCCTGTGACCCATGCAGCTGGCATGCAATGCGGAAACAGGCACATCTGCCCGTCAGAGTAGAAAATCAATAGAGAATGTCTGAAATTGGCCAATAACCACATCACAAGCATATTATTTAGAAACACAGAAGTAGAAACAGTAGAAACAGCTGCAAGATTAAACTGGTTTTGCCTTTAAGGACATGAATGGGGGGAGACAAATGATTTCGGTCTACAAGTCGTCTAGCACCATGTCAGTCTTCAGTTACATGCATATGTAACAGCTAATTTGAAGGTTAAAAAATATTGATTTTAGCTGGGTGTGGTGGCATATGCCTGTAATCCCAGTGACTCGGGAGGCTGAGGCAAGATTGCAAGTTTCAGGCCAGCATCAGCAACTTAGCAGGCCCTAAGCAAGTTAGCAAGACCCTGTCTCAAAATAAAAAATAAAATGGGCCGGGGATGTGGCTCAGTGGTTGAGTGCCCATGGTAAACCCAAATTCATAGTACCAAAAAAATAAAATAAAAAGGGCTGGGGCTGTAGTCTAGTGGTAGAGAGTCTCTGAGTTCAACCCCCAGTACCAAATACAAACAAAAATCAATTATTTTCAAAAAAGATTTTTTAAAAAATTATACTGTACAGTATTGGTCAGAGAATAGGAAAAAGGACATTATCATGCCCTGCTAATAGGAGGACAAATTAGTACATCCTTTCTAAAAGGTAATTTTATAACATTTATCAAGTGCTTTGGCCCAGTAATTCCACGCTAGGAATTCATCCTGATGAAATAATCATGGACATAGATTTATATGTACATAGATGATAATGGCAACACTATCTCTAATATTAAAAAATTGAAAACACCATAATTGTCCAACAGTAGCAGGCCGGGGAAATGAATGACTCCTCCATGCAAAGGAATATTCCAAAGAAACCATTAACAACTGTGATCTCAAGGAACATCCGTCACGTGGGTAAGTGCTCATAATACAATAAACTGAAAATCAGATATAAATCTATGGAATACAATATGACTCGTTTTGTAAGAAAAATTATAGACAAATGTGCACAAAGGAAAAAAACTAAAAGGAAATATACTAAAATAGATTCAGATTATAAGAATGTTTATTGTTTTCATATGCTCTTCTGTAATTTCTACAATAAAAGCAAAAGAAAAGAAATTGTTTTAAGACACAGCCCAAAAGCTTCAATTAAGCAGATGGGCCAGACTGAACAAGCACAGGACGACCAGACCTGCCTGCCAAGGCACACTGCCAGTGATCAAGACGGCTCAAGCAGGCAAAGCTACAGTCCCCAGGTGGAAAAGCATCTAACAGGACCCTGATGAGATAAATCAGCCTATAGGCAAACACCAGGCACACTTTTATTAAACCTGAAAATACCACCCACAGACCCAGATGACACGGGGGACATCTCAGTTGGTGATGGTCTGATGTGGTCGGGACAGGTTCTAGAGGGGACCTCCAAACTCACCAGGCAAAGGCCCACCCTGAGCCCACAGATCTCTAAGGGCTCAGTGTAAGGAATCCAGATGCAAAAGGGCGGTCCCCACCCCTGGACTGTGGCTCTGCTCTGACCCATGCCTAGGCCATGCTCTGAACTGCCTGCTTAGATTAGTGGCCTCCTGGCCTCTGCTATTGTGCCCATGAACACTGCTCTGTTGCCTCCCTATCTGAACACTACTATACTACTGCAGTCACTCAAAGCCTACCACCATCCTAATGCCAAGCATCCATGACCAATTCCACCTCCTATCTTTCCAGCTGGCACCCTGGAATCCAATAATCTTTCAACCTCACCAAGATCTGCAATCCACCGACCCTACTACATTTCAATGTCCTTCACCCGTCTCTGTCTCGCCTCCACAATGTAATTTCCATGGTCTCTCAGTCAATCACTCCCATACACTCCCTTGTGGCTCTCTCCCTTCATGCAAAACCCCACCTCTGGGACCTACTCCGCCTGCCAGTGTACTCTAAGCCTGCAACTCCACACAGCTGGAGAGCCCACAGACTCAGGCTGACCAGTCTCAGTTTAAATTCAGAAGCTCTAAGCTCAAGGGGATGGTCAGTGCTGCACAGTGACTGAACACCTCCCTACTCCACCAACCTCTCTCCAGACTGACTCCTTCCTTTGCCTCTCCTAATCTCACACCTCCAACATCTTCTCTCTTCTCAGTGTAGACCTAGTTTCTAATCACTGAGAACTTAGGGAACTTCCACAAACTCCTACCACATCACCCATCCAGCCAGCATGCCCATGTTCTTATTAGGCCAACCCTTTAGGTGAGTTGAGTCCTCTCCCCCTTGCCTGTCAAGGCAGCACTTTTAGCAACTGTCCCCTCTCCTGCATCATTAGCTCTTCCCTTCTACTACACCAATTACAACCTCCCCTATCTTATCACGCTGTCCTCTCCACTGGCCCTTCAATGCACACTGCATTTCCCAGGAACTCTGGTCCTCTCTTGCACCCTCTCCCCAGCTCCTTTATCACAATGACACCCATGTGGCTCAGGCTCATTGCTGGTATTCAGCAGCATGTGTCAGTTGCTCCCTGCCCCTGTCTTGGCATGCATGTTCTACTTTTCCAGCAGAGACAGCACGCTTTGCTGTTTCTTGATGGCCCCGATCTTGAACTCTGAAGGTTCTGGGCTCTGGGCTTCCTTACTTTCTCTGCTATCTCGCTCAGCCATGTGACTCTAAATACCCGTTAGATGATGATGGCTTCCAGCCTTCACTGGAGGCTTCTTCTGGGCTCTCTCCCTGTATTACACTGCCGACTCACTCATATAACTACACATACACTTAGATATCTCCCCTGCACACTCAAGACTCACCCATGATTCTCAAAGCTCCTGATCATCCTCCACAAATCTGATCTTCTCAAGGTGTGTGTCCTCATGATAAACAGCCTTCTGATGAAATCCAGTTTTTAGCTCAAGCTACAACCTCGGTGCCACTTACTGCTCCTCTTGCTTCCTCACTCACTCATCCAACCACCACTAAGCCCTGTTGACTCAAAAATATCCAGAATTTTACTCTCTCATGGCCTACTACAGTTCTCAGTTCTGCCCTCGCCCCTCCAGCTGGTTTCCCATCCAGAACGATTTTAAACACCTGAGATTACATCTCACCTCTGACTGAAAACTTCCCACTACAAGCCAAAGTCCTCCCTGAGGCCACAGGGTCCCACATGATCAAACATCCTCCACCACAATTCCTTCTTTCTCTTTTCTTCACTTGGCCCTGGGCACACGGGGCTCCTTGCTGGTCCCCCTGCACCTGACGTTTCCACTACCTGGACGTTCTTCAAGCTACCAAGGTGTCTCACTCCTTAACCTGCTTCGCCTCTCCACTCTCCATCTCCCTGTCGTAACTTTTCTCCGTGGTTACATATCACCACCTGGTACGTGATCTTCCTCATCTCTCTCTTCTCCCTAGAACTTAGTTCACCAGATCCGAGGTTGGTCTGTTTTGTTAACTGCTGTTTCAGCAGTATCGACACACACGAAGAACACGGTACGTTTTTTAAAATGAATGAATGGATGACGGAAGGAAATGCAATGCATGCTTATGATAGAAGCGCCGAAGAGCCTCAACAGGGGTTCTTAAAGCTCCAATCCGCAAACACTGGGCAAGAAAGGCTGGAGCCCAAACCCAGCGCGTCCTCCGCTCGCCCGCGCCCGCCCGCCAAGCCTTCCGCAAACCCACGTGGAGAGGCCAGCGCACGGGAAGCAGATCTCCAGCGCGGCCCAGATCACAGCACACGCGTTTACCTGTGCCCACCTGCGCCCACCTGCACGCGCCCTGCTGCACCGCCAATGCCAGCTTCCGGCCGGCCCCGCGCCTCAGGTACACGCCTGTCCCGCCTTCAGAGACTCGGCGCTCCCCATTGGGTAAAGCCTGCCTCGGTCTTCTGGCCGGCCAATGAGAAGCGGCGGCCTCACGGGGGCGGTGCCTCTCCCGGGCGCGGAATGGTGGCGTCATCTCGCTGAGCCCTAGTTGCTGCGGGAGCGCGAGTTGCCATGGCAACTCGCCCTCTCGCCGACACGTGCAGACTCGCGGTTGCCACTCTCTGTTCAAAGTTGGAGCTGGTGAGCTAACTGTGGGCATCCAGATTTTTGCTGAGTTCTTAAAGCTCGGGTGCAGAAGTACAGGTGTTAAAAAGTAAAAACAAAGAATAGGGAATGCTGCCATGATACCGTGTACCATCTTCAAACGCAACTATTTAGGCATTGCCCACGGATGTGAGCAAAGGTACAGAGAATTAGAGCGGAGGCCACCACAAGCGGGATGGGCGTGGAGTGCGTTCCACTCCACTGCGTGCAGGTAGACGCAGACCTACAGAGAGTAGATACGAAGTAGGATAGAACAAATAAAAGGAATAGGTCAGTAATCCCAGCGATTTAGGAGGCGGAGGCAGGAATATGCCAAGTTCCAGGCCAGCTGCAGTCATTTGTCAACACTTTGTCTCAAAATAAAACGGGCTGGAGATATAGCTCAGTGGTAGAGCACCGCTGGGTTCAATCCTCAGTATGCCCACCCTCCACTAAAAAAAAAAAAAAAGAAGTGAAAGGAAGGACACGGAAATATAATTTTTAATCTGAAGTTCCAAGTACTTTTTCAGTCCCGTCACTCCCCAAATTACTTCTTCTAGATCTGTCACTCCCAAATTTTGGGGAAATCTGTAAATCTTAAAGGGTTACTGGAAATTCACCCACTTGTGAAAATTACCTTGGACACTGTTCATCAGCTCCCGTAATGACCAGAATAAGCAAAGAAGAGATACAATATTTTAAGAAACCTATAATTTAGGGGATTTTCCAACATTATCTATGATCGGATAATGAGACCATGTGAACGACCAGACACCATAAACCACCTTGTGATCATCAGAATGATGTCATCCTTACCTTCCCACCCCCCACCCCTCACCAAGTTTCTTTGAACTCCAAAAGTGTCTCTGTCTCTTGAGAAGGTCCACATTCTCCCTTGAATGCATCTTTACTTTCTTAAATAAATCTCAATTAGGAAGTAGCTATAGCAATGAGCAGTGAAATGCAGAGAAAGAGAAGAGAGGGGTGGGGAGAAAGAGAGAGAAAGACAGAACTCTCTGGCTTAAGCCTCATTTTGCTTTTACTTTCACCTCACTTTCACTTATAATAATAATATAATTCTCTTGCATGACTTTTGGTGTCTGACTTTAAATTTTCTTTTATAGGAATACAGGAACCAAGATTTAGAGCTTCAGCTCCTTGCTTTCCTGTGACATCTGTGTCTTTGATGCATGCTGAAATTCTTTCCTATCACCTATGTCAAGAACTCCACTCATGGGGCTGGGCTGTAGCTCAGTGGTAAAGCGCTTGCCTTGCATATGTGAGGCACTGGGTTTGATCCTCAGCACCACATAAAAATAAATAAAGATAAACTGTGTGTTTATCTACAACTAAATAAATTTTTTTTTAAAAAAAAAGAACTCCAATCGTCCTAAGTTTAGGCCCCCCTCTGGGAATTCTTGGGACCTCTTCTGGTGACAGACACCTGGTGTACCAAGTTTCAGCTTTTAGAAATAATAATCTAGATGCTTTTGCCATGGGAGGAGAGGGTGATAACTTGTCAGCTAACTTTTAAGATGAGCATCAGAGGGATATAGTACGTATCAGAAGAAAGGTGGAATCGAGGGGACTTGGGGTGCTAGCACAAGTTAGTGCTCTCTGGTGTCACTTGCTTTGATGATTAGCTTATGAGTAAATCATAATAAATACCTGGTTTGTCTCCCTTGTGTGCATATAGGAGAGTGTCTACAAGGCACATACTCAGACTTGCCGAAACACGGGTATCAGCATGTTGGAGATTCGGTTTTCAAACAGCTCCAACTGGCTCCCCACAGTGATTGTACTACTCCGCCGAAAAAACACTCACCCATACAAGTAATATGTAATAAAATATGAGTATATGAAAACACAGTTGGTTTTGCTTATTTAGCTCTGGGAATGTATGGGTAGGCAATGCATATCAGCTTTTCACTGAGCACAGTTAAAAACTGATCCAAATATAGCCATTTTTTTTTTTAAAAAATTCTGGGACAGGGATATAGCTTAGTGGAACAGCACAGAAAAAAAAAAAAGATTCTGGTTTCATTCCCATATGGGATAACAATAAAAAAAAGAAATTCTGTTTTATAGCATCTGAGCGCTAATTGAGCAGTAAAATATTATGAGGCTAATAAACAAAAGAAAAAAGAATCCCAAAGCAGTTAGCCTGACATTTAGGGCAATTTTCACTTAGGGTGCAGTCGGTTCTAAAAAAGAACAGAAAGGTTGGATATCTGAGCAGGAATTCTGACAGTTTTGTGGGCTGCGGGCCCAGAGTTCAATGCCCTATCTTCAGGTTGAGAGCCAGGAAAGCTACACTGTGGGAGTGACTGTGAACTAGAAGTAAACCAACCTCACGGGTCCTCCAGAAATCCACTTCAAATTCACCTCAGTGTTGAAACTGCATTGGAAGGATTCAGGAATCATTGCTGGTGCCACTAGACATTTGAGGGAAGAAATGGTGAGTTCTAGAAGACAGTCTCTTGGGCCCCAAATTATATTTGCTTATATATTCTGTCCAGCTCCATAGAAAATAGCTATCTGTGCAAGAAGACATCACGATAGAAAGCCAAGAAAAACTATGTACAGTAGATTGCTGATCTACTCATCTGGCAGTATAATGTCATAGATCATGATAGCTCCAGTCATGTGTTAAAGTGACGTCCAGTGGTCAGTATTGTAGGGCCCAGGGGCACATGGAGCATCCTCAGTGGTTTGGGATCCTCTGCAGGAGAAGGTGTGGCTTCACTCCAGAACTCAGGGGACTCTTATTGGATTTACCAAAGATCCCACAGTCTTATCCCCCTCAAACCTCTCTGGCATCTTGGATCTTCCAAGTTATACAGCCCAAGTGCGAGATGGTTGATACTATAAACCCCACCTGCTGCAGAGCCTTCTCTCACCAGGTGACCCAGTCAAAACTCAAACTCAGGCTTCCAATTACCCAATACATGGGTGGTGGCCATATTAAATATGATATAAGCAGCCTCCAAAATCTAAAGGGTCCGGGCTGGGATATGGCTCAGTGGTAGAGTAGTTGCCTAGCATGAGCAAGGCACTGGGTTCAATCCTCAGCGCCACATAAAAATAAATAAATAAATAAATGTACTGTGTCTATATACATCTAAAAAACTTTCAAAAAATCCAAAGGGTCCAAGGAAAGGCAGGACTCTTAGTGGTGGAAGATCATATTTATGTTCTATTTCTGCATAACAAATGAACCCCAAATTTAGCAGCTTAAAAGAACACTCATTTTTCTCAGTCTCTTGGGTCAGAGCTTGGGCATGGCTTAGCTCTGTGCTTCTGCCTCTTGGCTTGTGGTACCCCTAGGTGAAGTAGGGTATCTGTCAGGCTGTGCTCCCCTCCCAAGTTCAGTCATGTGAATACTGGAAAGAGTCATTCCTCAGAGGTCACAACCCTGTGGCAGTTGGCCTCCCTCAGTTCCTTACTATGTGGCTTCTTCACCAGGCAGTTGATGACATGACGGTTGGCTTCGTCCAGAGACAGTAGAGGGACACAAAGATGCATGGACTGCCTCTTGGCAAACTAATCTCAGAAGTGGCTTCCCATGGATTCTGCCATATTCTGTCCATGACGTCATCTTACACTCAGAGAGGGGATTCCCTAGGAGCAGGAAAACCAGGAGGTGGGCATCACCAGGGGCCATATGAGAGCCTGCTGGATCCTGGCAGAAGTGTGATCACTTGGTCCTGGGACATATGGGGGATATTCCAGACCTCTGAAACTTCACTCATACATCCAACCCCTGGAGCTCAGGGCTTCGCATCTTCCTCCCCCAGACATGAGTGTCCTACCTATGCACCAGAGTACTTGCCACCTGCTCATCACCAGGTCTGTTGAGCACGATGTCATCTATACTGTGGATCATTTAAACTCTGTGATGGGGAGCAGGAGAGTTGACACAGCCCCTAGACAAGGCAGCAGACGCGATCCCCTGTGCCTCCCACTTGGGTGCAAATGGTTATTTGTTCTATCTTGATAGGAACAGATCAATAATCACATGCCAGGTGCCCAAAGCTGTGCTGATCTGTTGGAGCAGATGTCACCAGCACCCAGCTGCAATGAGAGGACATGAAACAACAGCACTCACCTCAGCCACGTGATCCTCAGGGGCATTCCCCTCGGCACCTGCTTCAGCCACATGATTCAGTGGGCACATCCCCAGCACGTGCCTTGGCCACAAGGAGCCACGTGACCCTTTGGGCACCTCCAATTGGTGATTTAGATAATGTTGGAGAGTTTGGAAGAGAAAATGTTGTGAATGTAAAACAACTAAGCAAAACAGAAATAAAAAGGTACTTGTTCTGGGCTGGGGTTGTGGCTCAGCGGTAGAGCGCTCGCCTAGCAAGGCCCTGAGTTCCATCCTCAGCACCACCTAAAAATAAATAAATGGAATAAAGGTATTGTGTCCAACTACAACTAAAAAATCAAAAATATTTTAAAAAGGTATTTGTTCTAAGGAAAACAAAAATGTTGTAAAGGAAAAGGAAACATGGTATTGCTACAATAGCTGAATTCTATGGCCAAAATAATGTGAATACAGCTTATTTCCCTTTGGGAAAATGGAGCAGGGTGCGGGGGAAGGAGAGAGTTTCCAAGAGAGATGCAAGGAGGAGATCAAGTTCCCATTTCCTTTGCAGAAAATTAATAGACATGCCTAAAACTGTAATTTGTGAAGTAGCTAATAATTGTGCTATTTAGAGATGCAAGTTGCCTCCAAGGAAAGGAAATGGGTGAAAGGACAATGGTGGGATTTTTTTTTTTTGTAATAAAACTTGCAGGGCTATTTGAATGTTTCAGGGTATGTACAAGTACACCAAAGATCAAAATTAAAATATGTAATAAAGAAAAAAAGATGATTAAAATGTCGAGCAGCTTGGGAGGCTGAAGCAGGAGGATGGTGAGCCAAAGCCAGCCTCAGTGAGACCCTGACTCTAAATAAAATATTAAAAAGGGCTAGGATGTGGCTCAGTGGTTAATCCCCAGTACCAAAAATAAATAAATAAATATTAAAAGCTGGTGAATTTGGGCTGAGGCTATAGTTTAGGGGCAGAGCACTTGCCTAGCACATGTGAGGCACTGGTTCAATCCTTAGCACCACATTAAAAAAAAATAAACAAATAAAAGTTTTGAAACATTTTTTTAAAGTAGTGAATTTTTAATTTTTGTTTTTAGTTACAGTTGGACACAATACCTTTATTTTATTGATTTATTTTTATGTGATGCTGAGGATCGAACCCAGCGCCTCGCACATGCTAGACGATTGCTCTACTGCTGAGCCACCACCCCAGCCCCCAAACTGGCATTTTATGTCATGTATTTACTGTAATAAAAGTCTGGGTTGGGGGTTAGCACCGTGGTACAGCAGTTCCCAGCATGCACAGACCCTGAGTTTGATCCCCAACACCAGAGACAGGAAAAAGTCTGTCTCTCCCCCTTTAATGTGGTTACGTTTGCCAGGGAGAACTAGTCTGGCCAGGTGTGGTGGCTCATGTCTATAATCCCAGTGGTTCAGGAGGCTGAGGCAGGAGAATCATAGGTTCAAAGCCAGCCTTGGCAACTTAGCTAGGTCCTGAGCAGCTTGGCAAGACCCTGTCTCTAAATAAAATATAAAAAGGGCTAGGGATGTGGCTCAGTGGTTAAGCACCGCTGGGTTCAATACCTGATACCAAAGGGGGAGAAAAAAAAAGAACCAGTCTGTTCATTTCTGTCTTCAATTTAGTGTTCCTCCTGCCCCACCATCCTTGTTGATTCACTTTTATTGAATCTGTAAAATAACAGGACTCCAAAAGTTAAAACTGTCTAAAAAGTTAGACTCAGAGAAGTGTCATTTTCTCCCCTTCCTGGTATCTCAGTCCCACCCACCCCAACCTAAAGGTAACCAATTTCACTTGTTTGTCTTGTGCTTTTCTAACAATGATAAACAGATAAATGAATATTTACATCCCCTTCTTTCTCACATAAAAGGCGACATCCTACACATTTTCTGCACCAAGCTCCTTTCCTTGTTCTGGATACAGACTCCTCATTCTTTCTGACAGCTTATGGTACTTGTGTGTGTGGCTTTGCCATGGCGCACGTCATCACGCTCTGTTCTGTGACCATTTAGCTCCTCTCCAATCCTGCAGCTAAAATAATTGTACACTGAATAATCCTGCTCACGTATTTTCATATTGGTGGCATGGCTTCAGGGTAGATTGCTAGAAGTGGGGTCGCTACATACATCCTAGTTCCCCAAGTTCTCGCCAGGTTCCTCCAGCAATGTGTGGAGGACCGTTGCCCCTCAGCCTTCCCCAAAGAGAACGTTGTCCAAATTGGGATTTTTGCTAATCTGAGAAATGGCATCTCCATGTGGCATTGATTTATATCTCTCCTATGATGAGGGGAGGTGACCATCCCTTTACAGACACAAAGGCACTGTTGAAACTCTTCAGATCCTGGCTGTCATTCCCCTTCCTCTCAGGTTTCTGATCTTCCCCCGCAGTACTAGAGTTCTTCAAAATGAGAAATATGTGTGTATGCTGAGACACATCTTGGTTTGTCACTGTCCACGGACTTTGTGTGTGGTTTTCTCTGCTTTACAAGCATCCTTGTCACCCATGCAGTTTAACTTACCAAACTTCTCTTGTTGCAAGAACATCCCCAAACCCAGGTCATGGAGAGACTCATGGCTAACACTTGTTGAGATTCACCGTTCACACTCAGATCAGAGATCTGAGTCCTTTCCCGGGTGTGAGGTAGGCTTCTGATGGCATCTTCTATTTCATCACTTGAAATTGATCTGTTTAAATTGTGTATATAATTCTGATTCAGTTTGGACAAATCATGTGATTCTAGAAAA